CTTTCCCTCCACTATTTAATATTAATTCCACCATGACAGTGGAATGGAAATAAGGCAGGGTACTGCCATGCCAATGACAAGACTCACACTAAAGCAACACTCTGAGGGTGAATTGCGTTATTGCCTCAGAAGAGGACAGCGAAAAGATCAGCTGTGCTTTCTCCACCCTGAGATTGACTCCCATGTTATGTCCTGCTCTGAGGGACTGTAAAAACTATGGATAAACATAACTGCTTTGCTTATAGGTTTTTCTGCAAATGCTGGCTAACTATTATTATCTGAGACAGTTGGAAAGCAGAGAAGTAGGAAGATATATTCCCAGCAGGTGCAAAGGATATGTTCAGACGACCATTTCTACCTCAGACCTCACACTTTGGCAATAAATTGTTGCCAGGTCTCAAAATTACATCATCTATGATGTGAAGACTTGCTGTAGACAAGGCATATTGGATTCGGTCCTTTCTGCTGAATTGCTGCCAACAAAGGCTGCAAATAAGCCCAAAACATGCCAGCTGTGCTGTAGCTGCTGATGATAGTGGAAATCTCTCTTCCTTTCATCCACCACCACAAGCCATTCAACCTGCAGACGTGATTGTAGTTCACACACATGCCTCTGGGAATCCTTACCACCAAAAATATCAGAAAAAAACCAGCTCTTTGCAAACTATCACCAGGTAACCTTTCGTGGAGTGCTAGACTTTCTCCACTGGGATAAAAGTACATAGTGCCGAACCTCAACAGTATTGAAGGTCAGTGACTCAGTCTTCAGCAGTTTCCCAAGGAAATTAGGCTTATTGACTTCTGTATATCCCAGTGTCCTCATTTTGCTGGGAGAAAATCATAGGCCAGCCATGGTATGCAGAGTGTTGGCAGTTTCGAGTCCTCCTCCTTCGAGTCCTCCTCCTCCTCCTCCATCTTCTTCTCCTCTTCCTCCCCCTCCTCCTCCTCTCAATGGTCACCATCCCTGGTGCTCACTTATAATTCTGCTCCCAAGGACTGCTTTTCCATTTATTGTGACTGCTGTACGTTCACTGGGCTGAGTATAAATTTGCATGCTATATATTAATATTAATAATGCTGGTTTTGTTGTTTCATTAAATCGATTCTTATTTCAGCCCATGGCTGTCCTCTTCTTTTCCCGATCCCCTTTCTTGGCTGGGGAGGGGTTTTCAAGTGATAGAACAACTGCTGTAGTTCAGTTCCAGATCAGGATAATTGCAGACACCTGGGTACCTGTGTCCCTCACAAGTCTCACACAGCTGGAAATGGCAGGCAACACACTTTCCACATCAAGTGTTACAGAGTACAGGGGGTGACTTGGGCTCCCTCCCATGAGGCTGAGGCATCCCTGGTCCACTGCAGCCTCCTGGCACCCCTGCTCTTCTTGCTTCTCTGTCTGCCATACAAAAACCATCCTTTCCTGCCTTCCTCCCCAAGATAAGAGGTGCTGCAGTCAGCAGCCTTCCCCCCTGAGCAGCAACAACCACCTGCTGCCGCCAGTGTCATGTCAGATGGCACCAGCTGGTATGAGCCAGGAATGGGTTTAGCTCAATAATTAATTATCCCCTCAACCTCCCTCTCCAAGCAAAATCTGAGAAGCTGCAGGGTTCCCGTCCTGCTGCTGACGCATGCAGTAGAGTCTTCCAGTTTCACAAGGAGCTGGGTAAGACCTGCTCAGTTAAACAGGAGCAGATTGCACTGGGCCAAGGACCTCTGTGCAGATCCACCACCTGTGACACCATTGCGTGGGAGGGGTCCTTGCCAAGTTTCACACATAGTGGAGGGCTTTGCTGATATCTCGAAAACTTTACATCATCCTAGCTCTGGTCTGCTCGACTTTAATTCAGGCACCACGGTGCTAGGCTGTGTGTGCAGCATCAGTGGACAACTTCTCTAGTCTGGATTGACCTCACAGAAAAGCCTGACTTAAAGCAACGGAGCACAGAGACCCTTAGGCATGTCAATGCAGAAGTAGTGACCTCCTCTCAGAGCCCATTAGACATCAAAAGATTTTAAAAGGGAATCTTTAGTAGTGCTCTGTCACCTGTCACTACACTAAGCTAACTGATTTTGTCATGTGCTGCTCTTAGGATGATTTCTTAATAGATTTTCCTCCTCTCCTCAAACGCTGAAGGAGGAAAGCCCTGGTACATACTCCCAGCATCCCACTATACCCCGGCACTGAGACTCAGGAGTCCCACAGCATCAGGAGATGCAGCAGACACTCTAGCTATTGCTTACAAAGCAAGAGGTGTTCTTTATAGTCAACATTCCCCTTTTTCCCCCTGCTTTCTTCTGCTGATGCTAATGTGAACACCTGCTCAGAAGATAACTGTCTAGGATGAGAGAGCGGCTAACGAGCAGGATGCTCCAGTCAGGCACAAATCAGAGCAATGAAGTCAGGTACTGCAATACTGTTCATTTGATAAATCAGTCCCTCCAGATATATGATTTAGCTTCTTTAGGGTACTCAGAACTGATTGCAATAGCCTGTGGTTTGGCTGCCAGACCTGTTCTGTACTATGACATCTTTTCATGCAGGCTCCACATGCCTACATTTGCCCTCTACCTCCTCTGCAACACTGCAAATCCAACCAGATCTGTCCTTGACATAGGCCTGGAAGAACTCCTTCAGTATTCTGACTTTTTCTTTTTCCCTTCTATTTCCCTGAACATATGTCCTTCAGATTGTATTGTAATTCATGCTTTTAACTTAGTCTCCCTGATCAGTTCCACTGCTAATTCAGCCAGACATAAAGTGCCAGAAAAGATAGTTGAAAGAAACAGAAATATTTCTGAACACATAGGCAAAATGAAGCATTTACAAGTAGACACATGAGAAAAGTCATCTTTGGTGAGCTGATTAAACAGAGCACAAAAACTGCTTGAATTAAATCATGATTTGTTATCACCTCAGCTACGCAAAAGGAGACTAAATTAATTCTGGGATTTAAATTGTCTCTGCTGGATGTATTATGAGTTAATAAGAAATCAAGCTCCTTTTAATAGCTGATTTCAGAAAGCAATTAAGCTAGGATATGTATGTCACAAGCTTCCTTTTTAGATGAACAAACTGAGCCTCATGGGATGTGATTTATCCCACAAATGTTGCAAAACTGTGAAGAGGACAAAAGTACCACAAGTTACAGCCCAACTGAAATGCACCCACCCAGAAAAAGTCCCTATAGGAGCCACAGTGACACTGATGATGGGACCTGTTGCCCTGGCACAGGAGAAAGACAGTCCCAGCTTCTCGCTACCTGTAGACCATTACTCCCTATTTTTCCCAGTGTGCACCTTTGGCAGCACAGGTACGGAGCAATTCCCCAAGCATCCCTTCATCCTTCCTCTCTCCTCTGGACTTAGAGGTCTCCCCAGGAGCAAAAGAAGGTACAAGTGGATAAGATGTTTGCCAGAGAACATTGAACATTTCACTCCCATTTATTGCTCCAACACAAACACCGGGTTAATACCGGGTTTGGTTTTTTTTTCAGTCGTACCCAGTGGTTCAGCACTGCTGGGAAATCACAGTAGCTTTGTTAGATATACAACCTGCTGCCATAAATGGACTTTGACCACAATCTTATGGACATCATTTACATGCTTTCACCTACAGCAAGGCTGAAGGTGAAAAAAAAAAAGAACAACAAAAGAAAAAGAATCTCTACAAGTTCACTTTTAAGCTCTGAGGTGAATTGCTAGCACAGACTGCCCAGGTAAAAGACACAATGACCTAACCCCTTGCAGTCCCCCAGCAGAGAAATCTCACAGGCAGTAGCACAACCTTCCCACCACAGCCACCTACCACAGTTCGCTCCAGAGCCAGGCTGCAGCTCCCAGTCAGCATTTGTCCTCCTGCTTACTCAGCCCTGGCTGGGCAGAGATACATCATCGTTCCCAGGGACCAAAGTTTGGCACCAGCTCCCTGCATGTTACTTGCTGCCCTCTGAGCAGCCTTGGTTTTGGTGATGGCTCATAAAAGCTAGTTCTGAGCCTTTGCTCTAGGGCCAGCCAGGTGCTCTCATTTATCTCTGTGTTTCAGAGGGCACATCTCCAGTGCAAGCATCTGGTTAAAAACCACAGTGGGAGGCTCATGAGACAGCAGGAGCCACAGCTCATGGCTGTGCTGACACATTTTGCACTACACCTTGATGATGTCCTAGCCAGCCCCTCTAAGCACACTTCATATTTTTCATCACTGCATCAGTGACAGTTACTATCAGGACAACCTTAAAATACCCACTCCTAGTGTGCAGACTCTATGCTGGAGCCAGACCACAGCACATCCCTGGCATGATTACAGATTACACAGAGAATCTCCTAGGAAAGCATCTTAAATGGCGTTTTGCAGCCTCATTAAAAAGCCGATATATTTGCCAGTACTTTCCACTAGTGGTAGCAGTCTGTGTTCAGGTTCTCTGATGCTGACATTTCAAGACAAGCTGAATGGTAGCTTTGGGCAAAAACGTGTGTTTGATTGTTGTTTTTTTCTTTAGTAAGCACAATTATTTCTGCTGACTCTTTTCAGACCTCAGAAGGGCAGTCTGCTACCAAGTTTTTTTATTAACTGCAGACTTAAGTGTTCACTACTGGAAACACAGGGAATGGATAATATACAGTGATCCAGATCACCAAGTGGTATCAGTCAGCTACAATTGCAGTTTATACCAACAAAGTTGCTGGCCCAAAACTGAGCACCAGAAACCTCAGATGCAAGGACTTAACTCTTTATTTTAATCTGACATTCCTCTAGCAACATAGCAATCTCTGTGTGGAGTGTTTGGCTTTGCATGGGTTGCTTGGGGAGCTCACCTTTCCCTATAAGCTTGGTGCTGACACTTAATCATACTAATTGTCCCCATTTGCTTGTGACTCAGAACAAAACTAATCCAGAAAGAAAAACCAGCCACCAACGCAAGGACCCTTGCAGCAGCAATCCCATTTTACACAATCCCACACCAGGACGGAAGCTGCGGATTAGAGGAAGGAATTTTCCTTACCTCGCTGATGATGGATGAGTGGGGTTGTTCATACACCCAGTTGTTGTGGCATGTGATGAGTGGCAGGTTGCTGGTGCTGCTGTTGCGGTAGCTGGCGAGTGGGCTGGTGCAACTGATGGAGGTGTCCCACACGACATCCAGCCTCTCGCACTGCCCGCTGGAAGACCCATTCCCCAGGGGCAAGGGCAGCACCGTGAAGTTTCGTTCCTCTTCTATTGTCCAGCCACATCGTTCACTTAGTTCAGCTGCCCCAGGGATCCTGCACCAGTAGCTGCCCGGTGCCCGCCCAAGGAAAACCACACTGGCGAACAGGGAAGAAAAAGTTATGCCTGTCTGGCAAAGGAGGAAAAAGACTCTCTTTTGAAATCTTCCAAATTCCCCAGCTTCCTTCAAAACCTCATCAAAAGATGGCATTCTGTGAGGCAGTCTGTCCACTTGCAGCAGTCCAAGATATGGCAGAGTTTGCTTTCACACTTGGCATCCGCTGCTGGCACTTCCTACCAAATATGACCGTCTCACGTCCCCTTGCTCCTCTCTTCTCACGTGCACACACACGGACACAAACACACGCACGGACACACAGACCCAGACGCACGGGTGTGCCACCCCACCAGTAGCATGAGCAGAGCAGG